TATGGGGAAGGGAGGCCCTTTCACTGCTGTGTGGTAGGGTCGCATCATAGAGGCACTCTGAGAAACATCAATACACCTGTGTCACAGAAATAGCAGACAGGAGTCACCGCACAACCAGCACTCATGGCACTGCCCTGCGTGCACAGGTCTCTTCAGACACACGTCTACAGTACACACTCCCAAACATATTTGACAATGGAACCCTCTGAGAGCACCAAACATAGTGAATGTTCCGTGGAATGCATTTTGGAAAGAATTGCTATCTGGAAAACTTCCAGCAATAGTGAAGCTGAGATATAGGCTAGGAAGGTATCAGCATTTAAAAGAAACAGGGTTATGGGACAGATCCTGGTTCTGTGTGGTCTTGTGTGGTCCCTTGTAGTCCCATGTGACCCCATGTGGCCATGGGTGGTCCTGTGCAGCCACAAAAGACCCTCCCTGGGACAACAGTTTCCCCTTTTTCAAAAACAGGATAACAATAATTATCTCAGCTTCCAAGAATTAAATGTGAGAACTGTAAGAATTAAATGAGGTCCCAGGAGTAAAAGTACATAATTTAGTACTTTTAAAATCTGTATATCACATGTTTCTCTATTCTCAAAATTTTCCAAAGCAAACTGTACTGTTTTTTAAATTAAACTTTTGAGATATTTGTACATTTACATGAAAGAGAGATCCCATGTCACCCTTTCCAGTTTGCCCCAACTATAGTCTTGCAAAACTATAATACAATCTCAAAGCAGAACATTGATAAAGTCAAGATAGAGGATATTTCTTTCACCTCGAGGATGCTTCATGTTGCTCTTGTATAGTCACACCCACATCCCTCCCACCTCACCTTCTCCTGAATCCCTGGTAACCACTACTTTGTTCTCTATTTCTATAATTTTATCACTTCAGGAATGTTATACGGGACAACTGGATATCCACATGCAAAAGAATGAACCCTGACCCCTACCCTCACACCATATACAAAAATTAACTCAAAATACGTCAAAGACCTAAATGTCAGAGCTAAACTATAAATCTTTAGGGAGAAAACATGAGTAAATCTTTGTGACCTTGGATTAGGCAATGATTTCTTAGATATGACCATATATCCTAAAGCACAAGCAACCTAAGAAATAATTGAAAATTCGATTTCACCAAAATTAAAACCTTTTGGACTTCAAAGGATATCATCAAGCAAGTGAAAAGGCAACCAGCAGAAGAGGAGAAAATATCTGCAGAAGATCTATCTGATAAAGATCTAATATCCAGAATATATACAGAACACAAGCTCAACAGTGACACAAAGAAAGAGATAACCAATCAAAATATACGCAATTGGTTTGAACAGACATTTCTCCAAAGAAGCTATACAAATGGCCAATAAGCACATGAAAATATGTTCAGTGTCATTAGCCATTAGGGAAATGCAAATCAAAATCACAATGAAAGGGCTTCCCTGGTGGCGCAGTGGTTGAGAGTCTACCTGCCGATGCAGGGGACGCAGGTTCGTGCCCCGGTCCGGGAGGATCCCACCTGCCGCGGAGCAGCTGGGCCCATAAGCCATGGCCGCTGAGCCTGCGCGTCCGGAGCCTGTGCTCCACAACGGGAGAGGCCACAGCAGTGAGAGGCCCACGTACCGCAAAAAAAAAAAAAAAAATCACAATGAGATACCATTTCACACCCACAAGGATGGCTAAAATCAAAACAACGTATAATAACAAGTGTTGGCAAGGACAGAGAGAAACCAGAAAGTTTATACCTTGCTGGTGGGAATATGAAATACAAAATGGTATACAGTTTTCCACCGTGGAAAATTGAGGCAGCTCTTCAAAACATTAAAGAGAGTTACCTATGGCTCAGCACTCCTAGGCACATACCCGAGAGGAATGAAAACATGTTGACACAAAAATCTGTAAACAAACGTTCACAGTAGCATTATTCATAATAGCCAAAGAAGTAGAAACAAAACAATGTCCACCAACTGATGAATGGATAAACAAGATGTGGCATGTCCCTAAAATACATTATTCAGCCATAAAAAGGAATGAAGCAGACTTCCTGGCTGGTCCAGTGGTTAAAACTCTGAGCTTCCACTGCAGGGGGCGTTGGTTCAATCCCTGGTCGGGAAACTAAGATCCCACATGCCGCAAGGCAGCCAAAAACAAAAAGGAATGATGAAGCACTGACACATGCTACAACGTGGGTGAGCCTTGAAAACATTATGCCAAACAAAAGAAAGCCAGACACAAAGGACACATATTACATGATTCCATTTATATGAAATGTCCAGAGTCGGAAAAGTGAGAAAGTAGGTTACTGGTTTCCAGGGGTGGGGAGAGAAGGGAAGGGGGAGTGAGTGCTTAATAGGTATAGGGTTTCTTTTGGGGGCAAAAAAGGTCTGGAATTAGATAGTAGTGGTGATTGCACAACCTTGTAAATATAGCAAAACCCACTAAATCATACACAGTAAAAAGGTGCAGTTTATGGTATGTGAATGATATTTCAGTTTTTAAAAATTCAAATTACATGCAATTTTATGTTACTTAAAGTGAGACCCACATGAAACAGGTGCTAAAACCATTTCAGGATCCTCGTCCAGAGGATCTGCTGTCCTTGCAAAGGGAAGAGAGACTCAGTGATGGGCCCCCTCCCACAGGGGCACAAAGGTGAAGAACAAGTCCCACCTTCACAAAGGAAAATCACAGGCTATCATTTTTAAAGGAGCCACTTTAAGAGCTTCACAGGTAGCATTTATTGGCTGTATTCATACTGGAGCCCCCCGCACTCACACAACCCCACTACAACTAAGAATCACCTGATGATAAATAATTTGGACTGACTCTTGGATGTGAATTATATGATCTGAGAAAACAGTGCCTATTACAGACTCTTCCTGATGTGATGGCTTTCGTTAAAGACCTTGAGTATGACTAACATCTGTGTTGATGTTCTTGACAGTAGCTGTTGATTCCAACTTCAAACCTAAAACAACTGGCTAGAAAGCAAAGAGAAAGGCAATTACTAGGAACTGCCCCCCAAACTGAAACCACATTGCCCTTGCAGGGCCTGTTTGGGGAACCTCCGAGGGGTGGAGGGTGAAGGAAACCCCACCACAGAGCGGGATGTACGCTTGGTCCCTGAGGAGCCCAGGCAGAAAACAGGGTGCAGCCTTGGCTGGCTCACTTTCCAGCTGTGGGACCTGAGGCGACGCACTCAACCCCCAGAGCCCACTCTCCCTTCTGGAACTCCGAGGAGAATCCCAGCTTTGCAGAACTGTGGAAGGAATCAAATAAAACGAAGGCTACGGCAAGTCCAGCCACAAAGGCAAGTGCTTGACTCATCACTACTCTTCAGGGCTCCCTGTCGGGCAGTTCAGAGCTCACCTGATCTCCTGAGGTCTCTGAAGTTCTAGCAAGTCTCTGCCAGGCCAGCAGATGGGCCAGCAGCCTCTCCTGAGATAGGCTGGGCGTGTGCTTTGGGGGATCTCATAGGGCACCCCACATACACCTCAGGCAGGTAAGATATTTCTCCTAAACAGGTGATTGGTGCCTGACCTCTGCCCTGAGATCCTGGCTCTGAAGCAAACACCTCTTATAAAAGCATTAGCAATTTTCCTTTGGCCCACCTGGACCAACTACTTAACACAGACCATCTACAGACAAGTTTCTTTCTTTGCTCTTCCCAGACTGGGAACCAGGGAGTCCAACTAAATTTGACATCGAGATGGCAAACACAGACAGAAAGATGAAACTTAAAAAAAAAAAAAAAATTAGGAAATCTCACAATGCTGCCCCACTAAGGTTCACAGATCACGCAAAGCTGGCGGACCCCCGCCCGGCCCCTTCCTGGGGGCACTCGCCCTAGAGAAGTTGCAACCCGGGTCCATATAGGCACTTGTATGCAGATGTGCATCACAACATCGTATGTGACCGCAGGGAGTGCCCAATACTAGGAGAGTGGACAAGCAGGATGCTGGGAGAGGAATTTCCACTTCCAGACAAGATGGTGGGACAAAGACAGGGCTACCTTCCCGTCTGAACAACTAGAAAACTGGGCAGAAGACATCTGAAACTGTTTTCAGATACTGGACACTTTCTAGAACATTCCCCTTACAACTGTGTGGAGGAGACAGACAAAAAGCAAACAAGTCAATATATGTAAATTCTAATTGTGCACATTTACATGTTGATGTGTATTTGCATATTCACATACCTGTGTGTGTGTGTTTGCACGTATTTACATATAGGTGTGATAAAAGAAACAGAAAGAAGGGGGTAGATGGAGGTAATGGTTGGGGAGATGGGTAAACTGGGGCAGCGGAGTTTAGAGATGGAGGAGGAGAGCTTTTTCCAAGAAAACTAAAGCAAACAACCAGGTAAGGGGACACCCTGTCTTGAAACTGAAGTCGCCCTGGAGGCTTCCTGGGTGGTGGTGGGGGACTGAGTGGGGTTCCAGGTGAGAAACACAGGCCTGGGCAAGGACAGTGGGTCCGAGGCCAGAGAAAGGGCTTTTCAATATGGAGCCTTGATGGTTGGGGCTGGGCTGGGGGAGAGGGGAGAGGCAGCAGGTCCCCTGAGGGTGCGATGCGCTCAGACCTCAGAAGGCTGGCTAGTCGAGCTGGCTTAAAATCCACTCCCAACCCCAACACAACAGAAATCTGCAGAAACTGGAACCAATGGTCTTTTGGGGGCAGGGGAATTTGGGAACTTGGGAACAGGGAAGAGGGGAGGAAAGAAAAGTGGGTGGTCCCAAGACGCCCCACCTCCCCACCATCAGCCCTGGCCCTGGCGTATCTGGATTGCTCTTCCCTTGCATTTTCTGGAAGAAGATACCTGTGTCAGGTGTGAGCAAGAGTCCAGACAATGGTAACAACATAACAGGAATCATGGCCGTGCTCATCTCTCACCCTCTGCTGAGCAACAACCAAGTTCTCCCACATCCTCAACTCAACTAAACCCTGGGAGTGAGATGAGCCCAAGGCCACCACTGCCCCACCCGCACCTGCTCACCGGAGGGCCACGATGACACTCAGTAGGGCCTGGAAGACGATCAGGAGGCTGAGGCTGAGGGGCAGGAGGGAGGCCGGGAGGCTTGCTGGCTGCCCCAGGGACACCGGCACAGCCTGGTGAAGGGCCTGGAGCTGCTGCCACTTGAGGAGACGGCGCCCTTCACCATCACAGATTCTCCAGCGGTTGTACCCAGAGCGCACGTCCAGGGGGACTTCTAGGCAGAGAAAGAGAGTCAGGCCTCAGCGGGGTGTGGGGACAGGATGCTCTCAAGTCTGCACCCATGAGAGAGCCCTCTGGAACCCAGGGCAAGGAAACCAGGTGTCCCAACAAGGCAGGTCACAGCCCAGGGGTGTGCCCACTGAGATGAAGAGAGCACTGCTGTTTGTTTGTTTCTAGGGTGATTGCGGGGCCTCGTGGCTGTGTTTTCGGAGTCTTTATCTTTTAGAGCTGCCTACTGAAATATTTATGAATGAAATGATATGGTAGTTAGCTGGGATATGCTCCACATTAATCTTTTTCTTTTTCATTTTTTTCATTTTTTTTTTTTTTTTTGGAGGTGGGGATGGAGTGGGTGAAGCACATATGAAACCACATCTACCAGGAGCTGATCATGGCTATAGATGACAGACGGGAACTTGGGCTTTAGTGGAGTATCTGAAATTTCCCATAATAAGAAGTTAACAACAACCACATCCACAAACAGAATTCAAACATCTCCATCTCCTTGATGCTCTTTAGCTTTTTCAAGACCTGCTTTTGTCACATGTGACCCTCTTGATGTTATATCTCTTATTTACTTCATTACACTATTAATATGTTACTACTATAAAATGTACACTCTAATTATACTAATATAAAATGCGCTCGATATAAAGTATATTTTCCTTATAAAAAATTCTACCACAAAAGCATAAAGAAGAAAAGCACATGAGCCCTCTATTTACAAGGAAAATACAAGATCAGAAACACAGATTTTCTCTTTAAAATGGAAATCAGCTGCATTTGAGGCCAAGGGAACCATCCCATATTTTTAATCACTCTGTACAAAGCTCAGCTCAAGGAGAGAAGGATCCCTATCTTCCTGGCAGCAGTGAGACTCGCACTCTCACTCCTGTCCTATGAACACCTTCTGGCTTGAATGGGTTTGAGGCTTGAAACATTAACATAAATCACCTGAACTATAAAACAATGGCTGGAGTAAAAATTAATACTGGTTTTTAACAACGTATCAGTGGATGCATTATTCAACAATAAACTGACTGAACTTTTAGACTTTCTTAAAGATGCAGACTGTTCAAAGCCAAAAACAACCAATAAAAATAAGCCCATAAATCGGTGATTATAGGGTGAGAAGAGTACTTTCTCAGGTGGTTCTCGTTCTCCTGCCTGTTTTTTGTTTTTTCGTTTTTGTTTGTTTTTTGTTTTTGATAAAGTGTTTTCTGGCTCTTCCACCTGAAGCTTGAGGCAACATATTGCTACCTGTTTTGCTCATCATGCACCCCACCAAGAGCCCCTCTTTGCTGGGCCTGACCTGCCCCCTTCCCCACCCACAGGGGTTACCTGTGACTGTCAGCTGAGACAAATGATACCAGTCTTCACCTACGCACAAACAGAGCTTTCATTTTTAAAACTGACATTAATGGAGTCCTATTGCCTGGGCTACAATGACTTCTTTTCCTACACTGCAATGTGTGTGGGAGTCCATTTCATCATCCCTAACAGTTGCGAACTCTAGGCAGCTGGTGCCACATTTCAACTGCACCCCCATTCATGTCCATCCTCCAACTGAGAGACACTTAGGTTGCTTCCAGTTTTTTGCCAAGGAAATCACTGCCGCAGACAGACGTGCGTGGAGTGTCTACATGTATTACCCAGATGTGGGCTTGTTGGATTAAAGATGGTGCACGTTATAAAATTTGATAGATACCTCCAAACCTCCCGCCAAAGGCCGTGACAATTCGTGCTCCTCCTAACTGTGCTACTTTTAAAGTCAAGAAAAAACTAGGTATCTTCTGCATGAAGAGGTAGGCGTGTGGGATAGTGGCTGCTCGTTTCCCAAGCACTCTCCCCCTTAGCTGAGTGCCCCTGGGCGGGCCTCTCAAATCACCTGCACATCACAGTAACCCCATGTCAGACATCCAACCTCTCGGTACCCGTCCAGTCCCTCCTTCACAGAGTCCATCAAGGGGACTCACTATGCCCTCTGGCCCCAGCACGAAAAGGGGGGTGTGTGATCTGAGCCAACAAATCGTCCACTCCTTTGCTCACATGCAATGCAGAGAAAGCACACGTGTCGGCTATCTGCAAGGGAAAGCACCTCCGCTCATTTTAGAGACAAAGAAAGTAAAGGTGCGGGTGGAGACACCACCTCCTGGTGCACCGTGACTGAGCACGTGAGTACATGCATACATCAGGCCGCAGATATATGGATATGCGAACACACCTTGTCATGACTACACACTGCACTGTGAACATATGAACATGCGAGTATGTGCTATGCCTGTCATGAACATATGAACGTATGAATATACTGTATGATGAATATATGCATAAATGTGGTGCCATGAACATATAACGTGTCATGAATATATGAAAGTAGGAATACATCAACATACAAACATATATACTATGTCATAAATACATATTTATACACAACACATACATACACATACCATATCATGAATTATAGAAGAGTAGAGCTTAAAAAACACTTCAGATACCACCTAACCCCAGGTTGCAAATTGGTTTCTTCCTGAGAGCCAATGTTGATAACTGGTAGAGTCTGAGTCTTCTCTGGGTTCACTGGGAAAACATGGGGGATGATTAGTGATGCCTGGTGAGGGTAGGGGTGGGAGAAGTGGTGTGTGCGCCAGTCTGTGGTCTTCTTTGTGTTACACCCATCTGGGGATGACAGAAGTCTCCCCCACCCCATCAAGATGTTCATGAGACCCCCGCCTTCCTTGGGGACAGGGAAGGGATGAGACACGTGAGCAATGAGTTACCTGGGATGCCTTTAAAACTCTGCTGCCTTTTCACCACCTAAGATAAAAGATAAGGATGTGGGCAAGCGTTGTCAGCCCCAGTGATCCACCAAGAAGGGGTCCCAGTGATTTGGCCTGGAAACCCCCTGGAAGGGGTCCATGGCCAGCTCAGAATGCAAGTTGTGTTCTCCTTTCAAAAAGCCTCTGGGTCTTAATTCTGGGGGCAGTATGCTACTTGATGACAGAAAACCAGCAGCTGGAATGTGGGTGAAGGCAGAAGGAAGCCTCTAACTCCAGAAAAGCTTGCTCAGAAAGCAAGGGAGAGAAGTGGCCCTGGAGCTGAGTTGGGCTGGACCTGGCTGACCATCTCCCACCACAGTTGCTGGCCTGGAACCCAGAGCTGTGGAGGTACCAGACAGAGCCAAAGAGCAAGGACAGACACTCGAGCAGTGGTCCTTCCCCAGCACCCTCCCTCCAGGCCTGCCAGGCTGGGGCTACAAGTGCAGAATGCTCAGACAGGTGGAGAGAGCTGAGGGGGAGAGGAGGCAAGGAGAGGGAGGAGGGGTGGGAAGGAAGAGGGAGGGAGGTGAGGAAGGTGGAGAAGAAGAGGGAAGAGGGAGGAGAAGGCAGGAGAGGAGAAGGGGACAGAAGACATGGCTGGAAAGGTGACAGCGGCAGTGGGCACCCTCATCAGAAAGCAGTGCACCCCACCCTTCCCAACACCACCAGGACACCTGGCCTGGGCCTGCCCTGAGTACCACTTGCCTCCTGCGTTCTGCTGCCCTAGGCCACGGCTTCCAGAGGGCCCCCAGACATCAACGGAGACCACTGTGGGGAAAGAACCCAGCACCCTTTCCCTCATCTCTGGCTCCCTCCTTAGCCCGCCTCTCACTTTCAGGCCTCGCTGCCATGCGAGCCTCCCTCTTACCTTCTTGTGAGACCTCAGGACCTGGGGCACCCAGTAGGGCATCACAGCCTCATCCCTAGGCATCGGGAGGCGGCCCCCAAAGTGGTGGCATGGGCAGGGGCATGCCTTGGTGGTTTGGGGGACATAAAACCAGACCATCTTTTGGATCTAACAGAGGAAGGGAAGAGAAGGTCCAAAGCGGGGTAGAGCCACGCCCCAGACAACCTCAGCCTCGTGGACAGGGCCCTGGAGAGCGCCTCTCCTATGCCCCGCCCACAGCACACCCCGACAGCCCAGCTGAGGGAGCAGGTCCCCATTCCACGATATTCCCAGGAGTGGCTGGCACCCTCACGACCCACCACCTGCACCTCTGCAGTGGGGCATCTGCGTGGTACTGTGGCGGGACACATGGGTGGGAGTTGGGAGGCCTGGCTCTGTCCTGAGCCTGGCAGCCTCCAGGAACAACCCTTGGGCACAACGTTTAGCCTCTCTGAGCCTCAGCATTCTCGGCTAGAGAGAGGGCTCTGCCAGAATCTTGACAACATTGGTCAGAGTCTAAAATGGATAGTCTTTGGTCCAGCAATTGCACTCCTGGGACTGTATCCCAGGAGGACACATGAGCATTTGCTCAAGAACACTCAGTACAGCACTGGCTGTAGTGACCAAATAGCCTGAATGCCTATAATAAGGGACAATAAATAATGGACACGGGAACAGACGGAATGGGTGGCCTTTGGAAAGAATGAGGCAGACCTGTCTGTCCTGACACAGAATGAGCATAGAGACACGATATTAAGTGGGAAATGCAGCACCGTATGCTACCATTTACATTTTTTTAAAAAGGTGGGGGGGGGGGGGGCTTCCCTGGTGGCGCAGTGGTTGAGAATCTGCCTGCCAATGCAGGGGATACGGGTTTGAGCCCCGGTCTGGGAAGATCCCACATGCCGTGAAGCAACTAAGCCCGTGCGCCACAACTACTGAGCCTGCGCTCTAGAGCCCACGAGCCACAACTACTGAAGCCCACGTGCCACAACTACTGAAGCCCACGTGCCACAACTACTGAAGCCGGCGCGCCTAGAGCCCGTGCTCCACAACAAGAGAAGCCACCGCAATGAGAAGCCCGTGCACCGCAAGAAAGAGTAGCCCCTGCTCGCCGCAACTAGAGAAAGCACGTGTGCAGCAACAAAGACCCAATGCAGCCAAAAATAAATGAATAAAATATAAATAAATGAAAAAGAAACCAATTTTGCTCATGGGGCAAAGCGGCCAGGCCCCAGGGATCAGCGAGTCCCACTTTGCCAGCAAAGAGTCTTGGTTGTGGGGTTGGGGGGGAGTCAACCGGGGCTTCTGAGAATGTTTTATACCTGAGAAGAAAGAGAGAGTGGGAGAGTAAGCCTTTGGAAGACTCCGAAAGACTCACTTTCTGCCATGTGTAACACAGTGTAAAACAGACCCGTGGCCACCATCTAAAAACACTAGAAATGACAGCACAAACGCTCTGAGTGGAAGGATGAAGAGAATCTGGGTCCCTGAAGACATCATAAAGCCAAAAAACCAATCCTAGAAGAATCCTCTCTCTACCAAAGACCCTGGTTGAACCCACTGTGGGTCAGTTTTCTGTTTCTTGCACCTAACACTTCCCTGCTGATGGAACAGGAGCCTGAGGAGCAAGCGGAAAGGGGACTGGATATCCAGGCAGGGGCAAGGTCAAGAAGGACCCCAAGAGTTGTGTCAGGGAGTTTGGTCCATATTCTGAGGGAAATGGGTCTCCACGGGGGAGTGACAGGACCAGATATATGGTTTTAAAAGCTCACCAGCTACAGATCAGAAAATGGAAAGTCAGAGTTAGAAAGGATGTAGGCAAGGAGACCAGCTGGGAGGCTGGGCAGTCACCCTGGTGAGATGTGCTGGGCACCTTGACTTCTATATTCCTTCCACCCTTACCCCTGACACCCAGCAACAAAACTCAGTGGGGAGAGTGCTGGAATCCGAGCCAGAGACCTAGATTCTAATCCCTGATCTGCTATGGACTGAGTGGGTGATCTTGGACAAGCCCCCGTCCCTCTCTGGACCTCAGTTTGCCCATCTGCTAAAGGGAGATGATAATACTTACTCTGCCCAACTTTCAAATGATACAATGGCCAACAGGAGGGACTGAGGCTATCACCTCTGCCTAGAACAATATGACTTAGTCATCTTGATACACTGACCCCTTTGAGAGTCTATTAAAAAAACAAGAAACAAGAGATTCCACATTCTACAATCACTACAGAGCCTACTGATGTTAAAAGGGCAATAAGGAAATATTATGAACAATAAATTCAACAACACTGATATAACGGACAAAGTCCTTGAAAGGTATAAACTACTAAAGCTCACTCATGAAGAAACAGATAAACTAAATAGCTCTGTATCTATGACAGAAATTACATTTGTAGTTGAAAACCTCCCCACAAAGGAAGCTATAGGCCCACGTGGCTTCACCAGCAAATTCTACCAAACACACAATGAAGAAATAATACCAATTCTACAGAAAGTCTTCCTGAAAATGAAAGAATACTTCCCAACTGATTCTACGATGCCAGGATTAATACATCATAATTAAATGGGTTTGAAAGGTTGGTTTAACTTTTGAAAACCGATCAATATAATTCATCACATTAACAAACCCTTAAAGGAAAACTATAAAATGACTTCAGTAGACACAGGCAAAATCCAACGTTCATTTCTGTAAAAGCTCTCAGCAAACTAGCAATAGAAGGGAACTTCCTCAGCCTGATAAAGGGCATCCAAACTTACAGCTAACATCATACTTAATGGTGAAAACTCAAACGTATCCTCTAAGATCAGGGGAAAAAAAGGATGTCTGTCTTCCCCACTCCACTTCAATAGTTTACTAGAAGTTCTATCGTGTATCAGACAAGAAAAATAAATAAAAGGCATACAGATTGGAAAGGAAGAAATAAAACCATCTCAATCTGGAAATAACATAATCATCCATGCAGAAATTCTGATGGAATCTACAAAAACAGCTACCAGAATGAGTTTAACAATATTGTGGGATACAAGATCAAAATACAAAAATAAATGGTATTTCTAAATATTAGCAATGAGCAAACATAAACTGACTTTTAAGAACAATGTCATCAAAAATATGAAATACTTATAAATAAAACTGACAAAAGATGTGCAAGACCTGTACACTAAGAACTGCAGAATACTGCTGAGAAATATTAAAGAAACCTAAATAAATATAGAAATTACCATGTTCATGGATCAGAAGACTCAATATGGCTAAGAAGACAATTTCTTCAAATTGATCTACAGACAATCCCAATCAAAATCCCAGTAGGACATTTTTGTAAAAAATTGACAAACTGATTCTAAAATTCAAGTGGAAATGCCAAGAGCCTACAATAACCAACTGTGAAAAAGAAAAACAATGTTGGAGAGCTAACACTACCTGATTTCCAGACTTTTTATAATTATAAAGCCACAGTAATCAAGTTAGTGTAGTACTGGTATGAGGATAGACAATCAGATCAGCAAACAGAATACCGCAACAGAAACAGACCCACGTGTATGTGGACAATTGGTTTTTGACAAAGGTGTAAAGGCAAGTCAGTGGAGAAAGGGTGAGCTTTATGATATGTGGTATTAGAACAACTGGACATCCACGTACAAAAAATGAACTTCAGTCCATACCTCATGCCATATACAAAAACTGACTTAAAATGGACCACAGACCTAAATATAAACAGTAAACTATAAAAATTCGAGAAGAAGGCGTAGAAGAAACCTTTCTGGCCTTGGGTTGGCAAAGCTTTCTTAGAAATGCATAGAAAGCATGATCCATTGTTGTGCTGGGGACAGGCATGCCTAAACAAGATCCAGGAAAGATTAAATTGATAAATTGGACTTCATCAAAATTTAAAACTTCTGCCCTTTGAAAGATAGTGATAAGAGGATTAAAAGACAAGCCAAAGACGTGGAAAAAACACTTGCATATTAAATATCTGGTAAAGAACTTGTATTCAGATATATAAAAAACTCTCAAAACTCACTAATCTAAAAAAAGCAACCCAAGTTTTTTAAAGGGTCAAAAAAGACATATCAAGTAAGATATGCAGATGGCAAAAATATATGACGAGATGCTCAACATCATGAGCCATTGTGGAAATACAAGTTAAAACCTCAATGAGAGGGAATTCCCTGGTGGTCCAGTGGTGGGGACTCCACGTTTTCACTGCCAAGGGTATGGGTTCAATCCCTGCTCAGGGAACTGAGACCCCGCAAGCTGTGCGGCCAAAAAAAAAAAAAAAACAACACACACACACACAATGAGATACACACCTATTAAGATGGCCAAAATTTAACACTGACCAAACCAAGTGTTAGTGAAGATGTGAAGGAACCGGAACTTTATACATTGTTGGAGAGACTGTGAAATGGTACAACCACTTTGGAAAACAGTTGACAGTTTCTTAAAAAGTTAAACAGATACCTACCATATGATGCAGCAATGCCTCTCCTAGGTACTTGCCCAAGAAAAATGAAGGCATGTTCACACAAAGACTTGTACACAAATGTTCACAGCAGTTTTATTTGTTGGACAAAACAGAAAAAGCTGGGAATGATCCACACACCCTTCACTGGATGAACGGATAAACTGTGGTCTATCCGTATAACGATACTACTCAGCAGTAAAAAGTAATGACCTACCAATGCACAACCACGTGGATGAATCTGAAAAACAACTATGCTGAGTAAAAGAAGCCAGACAAAAGGAGTACATACTAGATGATTCCATTTATATAGTGTGAGTTGGTGGACAGTGGTGAGCATAGCTGCCTTCCATTTATATAACATTCAAGGAAATGCAAATGAATCTCTAGTGACAGAAACAGACCCACGGTAGCCTGAGGACTGCGGGGCAGAGGGGGTTGAGTGGAATTTCAAAAGGGCACAAGGAAACCTTTTAGGGTTGTGTACATGTACCGCACTACTCCATTTTATACAAGCGGCTTGAGCACCCTGGATTTTGATATCCACAAGGGTCCTGTAACCAATCCCCTTTGAATGCCTAGAGATGACTACATCGTCACAATTGTAGTGGTGGTTTCACAGATGTGTGCATATGTCACGATTTATCAAACACTACATTTTACGTATGTGCCATTTATCATATGCCAATCGTATCTCCATAAATCTGAACCCCTGATTCAAGTCACCTACCTGCTTTCGGGGTCTCAAGGATAGAGGGACCCAGTAAGGCAGCACCGCCTCAGCCCTGCGCACCGGCAGGCGGCCCCCAAATTTGGCCTGGCACTCACAGCAGATGGGCTCTCGGTGAACAGAGCTGGGGACAGGGCACATCTGAACAAGAGGCAGAAAAAAGAGAATTGAATGTGATGCTGCATTACTGATGTGAGTCAAGGTACTCTCTGAAATAGTAAATCCATGCTCAGAGGGAGCAAGGTTAAGACAGGGCATCCAGGGGCAGGCGCAGGGACAGGAGCCTCAGCTCCCGAAGCTCACAAAGAGGCAGGCTATCTCGGCCTGCCCTGAGGCCCTCCAAAGTCACTTAGAGGAGGACCACCAGAGCCAGCAGACCAGGTATGCTGGGATGTGCGACCACTTACAGCCACATTACCATGAGCAAGTCTTGGATTTCCCCCCTAAAAACGGGGAAGTACAACCAACCCTAGCAGGGGTTGGGGGGGAATGATTGCTCTTTTTGTGGTAATCCATGTCAATCTGCACACAGTGCTTTATGTTTGTAAAGGCTTCCACAGCCATCCCATGTGACCCCACCACACCCACAGGCAGGAGCAGAGGAAAAGTCATCCTCTCCAGGGGCAGATGGAGCTGATGCCCAGAGCAGACACTTTAAGGGGCAACATTGGTTCTCCCAGGCCTCCTGAATCCCTGTCATGAAGAATTGAGCGGTGGGGGAGGCAGTGGGTGACCCTACATAGAGATTTGGGGGCTTGCATGGTCCCTGAAACCACGGACTCCCCTGTCTGACACACCCTCTCATGAGATGCTGCTTCTGGACCCACATTCTCTGCTCTCCCCACCCCACAGGGGCGTGTCAGAGTTGGGGCAAAGTAGTTGAGATTTGCTTTCCTTACCGAATGATCTATGGGACACACTTCTTCCCCAAAAGTTTGAAATGTGCTTCTTTCCCTAGAAAAGAACAGGAAGGCTTAGAAAGTTCTGGGCTTTGTGTAAATTGGGAGCAGGAGTACTAGGGTGAGGGCCTGGGCCAGCTTGGCTCATACCATTAAACCCCAAGAGTGGAAGGGGTTATCATTCTGAGCCCACGAGGGTGCAGGGGGTGACAACAGAAGCAGGTATGTGTACACTCACATGCTAAGGTCTGGGGGTTCCCAGATGTCAAGCTATTGTGGAATCCTGCATCCCCAAACCTATGTGCTTCAGGCACACTAGAGCTAAACCCGTGCTAGGCCCTTTGGGAAAGACAGGAACATTCCAACCTGGTGAGAATTTTCCAGGACGTGGAGCTGCCAACCACAACACATGTGATGCTTTAACAGACACCCTGAGCATACTTGGAATACTGAAGGAAAATATCGTCAAAGCTCTACATCTAAGGAAATTCCTTGCAGTATAAAAACCTGGGTGCTTTGTCTCTGGATGACAAAGCATTTGGGGCTGCATAGACTCTGTTACTCTTCCCATTCTCCCCAAAACAAGTTGCTAGAATGTCGGCCACTGTATGGAGAGTGTCCAGTGGGCATAAAACCAACACGAAGCAAAGACCAGCTTCCCTGAGAGCGAGGTATGACACGGAAACGGTAAAAGTGAGCTCACCATCATAGTCACCACTACTGCTATCTCACTACAGCAACAGCTTCAGGTCATTAAGCTCAACTGCCCCAGCTGGTCCTTGACAACACGGGATGTGGGACGCTGCCCTGCACAGCACCCAAGCCCCCAAACGCTCATGACAGCATTGCTGTTTCCTTGCGGGGGCCACAACCCCAGCCAAGAAGGTGAAGCCAGCTAGTTTCAGAGGCTGGCTCAGAATTGTATTATAACCCAAGTCAACCCAATGAAACCCATTCTGGGACTTTGTTAAAATTACTGGGAAAGGGAATGTCCTTTTCTGTTGAGGCCGTAAGCCTCCGGACGTCTTGGTGGTCATTTTGCCTCCAGGAGGGGAAGAAAGCAAAGCCGAAGATGGAGACAAACAGTCCTTGACCACCGTCCTTGAGCATCTGGACACATCCATTCCTGACGACTTACTCCTGACATCCTCAGGTGAAACATTGACTTGCCCTTCTGGGCTTACATGATGTAGGTATGGCGTCTGTCCTGCCTACCTGGTACAAGCTTCTATGGGACAGGGTGATTTGGGGGTGCTGGGGCTTCCCCGGGTAACTCGGGGTCCGGCTACCCTCAGGTGACTCGGGGTCTGGCTTCCCTCAGGTGACTCGGGGCCCGGCTTCCCCGGGTGACTCGGGGTCCGGGTTCCCCAGGTGACTCGGGGTCTGGCTTCCCTCAGGTGACTCGGGGCCCGGCTTCCCCGGGTGACTCGGGGTCCGGCTTCCCCGGGTGACTCGGGGTCCGGCTACCCTCAGGTGATTCGGGGTCCAGCTTCCCTCAGGTGACTCGGGGTCCGGCTTCCCTCAGGTGACTCGTGGTCCGGGTTCCCCAGGTGACTCGGGGTCCGGCTTCCTCAGGTGACTCGGGGTCCGGCTTCCCCTGTGACTCGGGGTCCGGCTTCCCTCACGTGACTCGGGGTCCGGGTTCCCCAGGTGACTCGGGGTCCGGGTTCCCCAGGTGACTCGGGGGTCCGGGTTCCCCAGGTGACTCGGGGTCCGGGTTCCCTCAGGTGACTCGGGGGTCCGGGTTCCCTCAGGTGACTCGGGGGTCCGGGTTCCCCAGGTGACTCAGGGTCCGGCTTTCCCAGGTGACTCGGGGTCCGGGTTCCCTCAGGTGACTCGGGGTTCGGCTTCCCCAGGTGACTCGGGGTCCGGGTTCCCTCAGGTGACTCGGGTGCCTGGCCCCCAGGTGTGGAGTGGTGGCCCAGAGTTTAGGACTGAGGGGGCACTTGCCTGTCATGACGCGCTCGGGGTGAGTGCGCGCTAACAGACCGAACGGACACCCGAGGGCTCCCGGAAGTGCCCGCCGCGACTCTAAGTCTTGGTGAGGGGGGTGACGAAGCTCATGATGACGGCGGTGACGAAAGCAGGGACTGGCCCAGGCGTGTCACTCCTCCCTCAAACCGTCCTCCTCTCTGCGCCCTGTCCCTCCCCGGGGCCTCCTCCGACCCCCAAGGCTCCTCCTCTTCCGCCCCCCCGCCCCTCAGAGGCCAGGCTCTTCCGGCGACGGCCCTCTGCGCACGCCGCTGACTGGCCCTCGTTCAGCCAATCAGACGCTACCTTCTAGGCACTTACCTGGCAGCTGATTGGGCCCTGGCGCCACGGGCCTCGGGGTCGGCGGGGCGGGGCGGGGGTCGGCGGGGCGGGGCGGGGTCGGCGGGGCGGGGCGGGGGTCGGCGGGGCGGGGCGGGGCTCCGCTCGGGGACGGAGCGGAGGTCGGGCCGGCGCGGTTGACCGCGTGTCGGTTGTGGCCCCGGCCTGGCCTGGATGGGCGTCGGCCCCGGAAGAACCACCCCCTCACTCCCGGGAATGCCCACTCACCATTTCCGAAGGACGGGCCTGCGGGGCCGCGGGGCACACTAGCCGGGGTCTCTGTCCCCTGGAAGGAGAGAAAGAGGTGGGACCCGCCCCCCGAGGCCGCAGGGGCGCGGTGCCGGCCCAGGGCCTATTCCGGATACCGGGGAGCATCTCGGTAGGAGTGTGTCCCACGCAGGACCCGGGACGTACTTGTAGTTGAAGTCGTTGTTTTTCTGACATTCAGATTTAACCGGGCGCCCCGCAAGTCACTGGCTGAATCGGGCTCAAATTGTGACTTTAGAGAATATGTGTTTCTTAAGCAACCTGGGGGTTCGAAGGCCGTGGAATTCAAAACAACTGACATCCAGAGATGCCGTGCGGTTCTGAACGCTCGGCCCGTTTCTCTACCCGTTGATCTCTCCTTCCTCCCCCTCGCACGTGTGCGCTCTGGGCAGTTTCTGAAATGAAGACACGATGCTTGTCTTCACATTTTAGTAAAATTGAATGTTTTCTGCCTCTCTGTGATCTTTTTCACAAGATCAGATTTGTATTTCTTGGAAGCATGGGAGTTCCCTGCTGACCTAGTGGTTAGGATTCCGAGCTTTCAATGCCTTGGCCCGGCTTCAATCCCTGATCGGGGAACTGAGATCCAGCGAGCCACACCGTGGGGCAAAAAAAAAAAAAGTATTTCTTGGAAACAGACTTCTCAGTGTTTGTTTTTCTTTTTTTTTTTTTTTTTTTGGGGGGGGGGGCACATCTCCACGTGCTGCGTTCTAGCCATGGACAAACAGGAGTTCCCAGGCACTGCTCAGGATTCTTGGCTCCTTTATTAAACTGGTAAGTTCATGAAGTGTAAACAGGGCTGAGCTTCCAGCCAGTACCCCCACGCAGGCTCTCCGGGCCAACACCGATGCTGACAGGGCAGCACCCCACCATTAGCTGCTAATTATTTCAGACACCCCCCCCCCACCGCATGTGTGTCTATAAATAATGTCACCACTGGTCTCTTAATAGCTAATGACAAAATTATCCAGGAATCTCACCATTAGCCTAGCATTTTATTTATGGCTGTCTTGTCTCTGCCAGCCTTGGAGGGCCCTTGGCTTCCTTGCATTCTCCTCCTAAGCCCACTGGAACATTGTGGTAGCATAGAAGACAGGTTTGTGCCCCCCTAGAAACTCTGGCCCTCACCCCTGGGACTTGCCATCTCATGTCAAGAGTGACTCATCACCCTCCCCATCCCCACCAAAAATAGTTAAAAGGACTTACGGTACCAAGTTTGTAGAGGATGTGGCAGCTGGAACCCTCATACATTACTCACAAAATGGATATAACCATATAGGCAAACTGTTGGGCAGTATTTACAAAGCCTAAACGTGTGAATACCCTATGGCCAAGCAGTTCCCCGCGCCCCCCACCCCGGGTATACACCCAAGAGAGTGAGAGCTTATGTCCACTAGAGGACACAGACAAAAACACACACACACAGTGCTGGCTCGTCCAGCAGCTGGAGGACAGCCACTTCCCACTCTCACTCGTGTCTATATCTGTGTCTTCGAGAACGTTCCTTAAAAAGTATGTATTGGGGCTTCCCTGGTGGCGCAGTGGTTGAGAGTCCGCCTGCCAATGCAGGGGACACGGGTTTGTGCCCCGGTCCCGGGAGGACCCCACATGCCACGGAGCGGCTGGGCCCGTGAGCCATGACCGCTGAGCCTGCATGTCCGGAGCCTGTGCTCTGCAACGGGAGAGGCCACGACAGTGAGAGGCCCACAAACCGCAAAAAAAAAAGCACGTATTACTGGTAACCCAGAAAAGAACCAAAAAGTTGTGCTTTTGTTTTGAGGTTGGCTTATTTCAAGATAGCCTTGCCTAACTGACCTGTGACAGGCATAGGAGTTCCACAAACCTAAATCCTACAGATTAACTGAAATCATGATTTTCAAATAAAATCTAAATAGGAACTGTAATTCTTAAGTTCTCACGTCTCATGACTTTTTGGGTCTCTCTGACGTTGAGCACTCAAGTGTCTTCCCAGCCCAAGCCGCACAGCGGTTTTGGTCAAGATCACACCAGGTGCCATTGTCGTCATGGCCCTGGACACAGGACTCACTTTTTACCCGGATGGGGGCCCTGCATGATGTGACAGGTTCCCACCGGTGGACAGCATGATGTCAACTCTAATGCCCCAAACCTTACCCTTTCCTCGTAGGACCATAGGCTTCATCGTCACCCTCACTGACCGAGACACCTAGACTTCTCTCTTCGGTGGCTGTGACATCAGCGTCTCGGCTTCCCTTCCCTTCTTCACTGCAAGCTCCTGCAATCTGCTGGGGGACACAGGACCACTGTCATCCTCCTCCTCACTGTTGTCAGAGCGCTATGAAACGGCACAGCCGAGCCAGGCCACCAGGCTAGGAGAGTCTGTTCGTTTTCAAGTGCCTCTGTCACTGTCTCACCCCCACCTCCGAGGTACCAAGGGCCCCGTCCTAGTGCCTTCCCCGAGATCACTGAAGTGTCCTCTAGGAGAGGCCTCGGCACCATGTTTCCTGCACCCATGGCGCCCCATGGGAGCTTGCCTTCCAATAGAACTGTGGAACGCTGGGAACAGGAGAGACATTCTATGGCAGTGGGGCCATCCACCTGGGCTCACACACGCACACAGACCCACACAAATGCATACAGTACATATAAACTGTATCTGTGGCGTTAAATTGTCATGGGGAGTATTAGGGGAAAAAAATGTCTAAAAAGGCTCCTTGGAGGGAGATGATAATGAATAAAAGGCTGAGAAACTGCTGATGAAAGAAACCAGACTAAAAAAGCTACATACTATGCAATTCAGTTTGACATTCTAAAAAAGGCAAAACTAGGGATGGAGAAGAGATGAGTGGTTTCGGAGTGGGGCACTGGCTATGAAAGGGCAGCACCAGGGATTCTGAGGAAGATGGAACATTCTGGATCTCGACTGTGGTGCCTGTTCACAGCTCTATGTGTTGGTCAACTTAAAGAAATTTACTTACGCTTAAAATTGACATAATTTATATCTTAAAAAACCTAACCACGAAATAAAAAAGGACAGTCCAGTGATTCCCACTACAGTGCCAAGAACAGCTATGTGTTTAAAATCATGTTCCTTGAGGTATTTTCTCTGGAATCCTCTTCCCAAAAGATTTTGGAAAAGGAGATATTTGTGCAACATCAGAATCCTTTGGGGCGTTTGCAAAACTCGACTGCTCAACCCCTCTCCCCAGAGATCACAGTTCAGCATGCCAGGGCTGGGCAGGCATCTCCCTCCTGTTGAGGACCTGGTGGCGCTGAGCTTCACGCCTACCCACCCTTCGGGAAGCCAAGCCACCAGCTCGAGTGGCAGGCAGTGTTGCTGTTGACACAACAGCCGTTGCCCACTCCTGCCCACCAGGAGCCGGGGAAATGTGCCGAGGACGGGGCCGGTACCAAGGAGGAGCCCACGGCGCTGGAGCTTTGCAGACACCCCGTTCCTGGGCCCCTGCTGAGGTTCTGGGAGTGACGTCCTCCTGGGTAGAGAGGGAGATAGGTGAGGACACAGCACCTCGCCCACCATCTGGGCCCTGCAGGCCAGGTACCACATGACCACCTGCACCAGCTTCCATCTCAGCCTTGACCCCTCATTGCACTGGAGACAGATCATCACCTGATACAGCACCCAAGAGTCAAGGGGAGGCTACCTGAGCCCATTTGGGGGATGTTCTGTTCTGTGACCTGTGCAGGACTGAGACCCTGCCACCTGTTCACTGCTGTGTCCCCAACACTTGGCACCCTGTTTGGGGCATGGAGGTGCAGGTACATACCCAGTGGTTCTCCACGAGGTGACAGTCCCCAGGGGACTATGGCCGCATCTGGAGACATTTTTGGTTGTCATAGTGGGGGAGGCCAGGGATGCAGCTCAGCCACTACAGCAAGCGGGGTGGCCCAGCACAGAATCACCTGGCCCCAAACGTGGAGACCTCATGACTGGTGGAGAAGCCCCACCCCAAGCAAGCCGCCGGGCTTGGGGACTGAGAAGCTCTAGGGGCCTAGGCAGCAGCGGGGCTGGTTTTCCCTAAAAGATCTTGTGTCTGGGGCTCGGCCTAGGCTGAGGGTGCATGTGCGTGCCACGAGAGCAGGACCGTCGGGTGGACCTCAGGTCTGCTTCTCAGCTCCGCCTCTAGGGCCCCTCGTGGGTGTCCTGGGTGACCGGCTGCCTCCTTCCGAGTCCGCTCCCGGAGAAGCACCTGTTCATCCCAGGGCGGGGCAGAGCTGCCAGCCCTCCCCTCCCCAAGTTTCCTGAAAGGCGGCCTTCCATCACTCATGGATTTTCAAGTCAAAGTGGGGGGAAAGGTCTGAAAACTTTTCCCAAGTGGCGTATCTTTCTTTGTTTTCACCTTGCTGGCTGGGGTCACACAGCGTGCAGCGACTCTACGTGCCCACTAGAGGGCGGGCTACAAAGGGACCCGGTCACAGGGACGCCGGGCTGGAGGGGAGCACACTCCCCAGGGCCATCAATGCAGCCTCCTGCCGCGGGGAAGGGCGAGCACGGTGCCTGCAGGGATGGGGGTGATGCAACGCCCCGGATGGGGCAGGGGACCTAGCCCCAACCCTTCTGAGGGCTCCAGGCCCAGCTGGATGGGAACATGAGGTACTTTTACTTCCTACATAAAACATTTGAATTTTTCACAAGAATATTACTTTTGTAAACAGGTTAAAATAATACAAAAATGAGCTCCTCAGCTGTATGCCCAGCCGCTGAGCACATGCCCTGCCCTATCTATCCTGCCCTTCTGTTCTCAGACACAGCAACTTCCTCAGACTTCAGACTAAGAAAACCCACTTCGGCCCTGCCCTCAGGGCTGCCTTGCTGGGGAGGGGGACACATGTCCGCTGGGTCAAAGGGAGGGATCCAGGGACCCACGGTTGTCTGGGTTCCCCGGGGGTCACTCACCACTCCGTTCCATAACTGGGAAAATCAAAATTTTGTCAAAATCAAGTGTGAAAAGCGCAGGCCCCTGGGGAGGCCCCCACCCGTGCCCCAGTCCCCTCCCTCGACCCGCAGCCCCCTCCCACGATCGTCCCCTGTCCACATCCATAGGCCATGTTGCTTAGGGCTCCAGCCTCCATCTGAACCACATCCCGAAAGGAACAAATTACAAAGCACACAAGATTTCAGAAGCTGCTTTATGGAGAAACAACCCCGCGTGGTTGTCGTGTCCGGGTCACAAGCCGGGTCCCGGCCCTGCCCCAGCCGCACCTGGCAAGCCCAAGCGGATGCCTGAGAGCGACCACAACTCTTTCCATCTCCACTGTTGTCTTTCTCACTCACGGGGGGGGTTTCAAGATTACACAGGATGAAAGTTTTTCTTCTCGAAGCGGACTGTATGATCTCAAACAACAACCAAAAGTACTGAATTAAGCTAAAAAAGCAAAATGTTCTGATCCCTTCACATGCTCTGGCTGGTCTCCCGGCGAGCACAGAAAGGACCCAGAAGAGAGGCTGCCTTTCTGTCCGAGCCTCAGGTGCCACTGCTGGTCACCTTGGCCCCATGGAAGGCTGGCCTGCAGGCCACCCAGCTGTAAACAACACCGCTCCGTATGGTTCCCATGCACAGCATCAGGCAAACTGATGGCATTGTGGCTTTCTTCTGTCTCTAAATTGTTCTGAGAACATACAAATTACACTTCAGATCTTCTCCCAAAAGTAAAGACAGAGAAGTTGGCCTACGTTAACACTGGGATGGACCACGAATTGGGTCATCTTATCCTCAAGGCAGGTGAGGGTTGTATGAGAACATTCCCGTAGGCATTCTTGAAAGTATCCAAAAGAACATGGCTAGAGTCAGTCAGGTGCTCCCAGTCTACACTCGAGACACCGTGGTCACAAGGAACTTAGGAAATTCCCCGGATGACAAAGGGCTGAGCAGGTTTCTGATCCTCTTCAGCTCAGCTCACAAGCACTGAAGTGTCCTCACAGCAGCAGCTGTGCAACCTGGGCAACCCGCACACTGCAACCAGCCCTGAAGGTGTCAGGCCGAGAGGGCAGCTGGCTAAGGGAGGGGTCTGGCCATCTGGAAACAACTCAGTTAGAAAGTCTGGCAGGACAACCGCACCCCTGCGCTCGTTCTGCAGGAAGCGGGAATGTAGCTAGTTAGACCGCTGTGCACTCTCCCGCCCTCCGCGTTGGCCAGGGACGCAGGCACCTGGCACTGAGCAGCCTGGTGTCGGGGCAGGAGGGGGCAAGGGGCAGAGCAGGGCGGCTGTGGCTGTGAGCACCAGCCACAGTGAGCTGGACTGTATTGGAGGAGGGGCCAGGCCCACGTCCCACGGCCAAAAAATAAGGTCATTTCCCACAGCCTCACACCAAAAAACGCTCAGCCCCAACAGGGAAAATCGCCAGTGACCCGTGTCTGAAATCTCCAATCACATCATTTCCGATCGACTAGCAGAGCGTGGAGCCTGCCCAGGTACACAGAGGTGCACCTGAGCTTCCTTCCCCAACCTCACGGCAGCAAAGTGGCAGTGAAGGCGGTGCCAACCATGGGAAACATCTAAAGACCCTGCCCCCACGTGGACGCTGCCAGCCCCTAACCTGGGTCGGGTGCACCATTGGAACCTGCTTTTTCAAAAGCCCGGTTGCCTTTAGGCCTCGGACAACGACGTCAGCCTTTTTGAATCCTCGCCAACAACTTAACTGGTTGGAAGTTCCCCTCCTGAGCTGGTTGACCGTCTGCCAGGAAGGGGAGCGGCCAGTGCCGGCTTTGTGCACAGAAACGCCACTGTCCCTACACCTCACCTACTGACATCAAGAGCTGGCTGAGCACGGGTCAGACTGGGAGACTTCTGCACGACCGGCTGTGCGGATGACAAGCCCTCACCCTTCATTGCTGCTGACCTGCCTGGCGTCACCCTGGCCACTGCCAGCTAGACAGACCCCACCCACAGGCCCAGGGGCCCCGCCTGACACCAGACACAGAGGCCAACGCGAACGCGGCCAAGAGACCAGGGTTATTTTAGTCACTGTTAGTGGAAACCATGCGTAGGCCAGACACTAGAGGCAGAACAGCATTTGGTTTGAGACTGGTTTTTAATCAGAAGTGCTCATCTTCGATCTGTGTGCGCTTTGCAACGCTGGGGGCCTCAGAGGGAGACGGTCCCTTGGCTCTGGGTAAAATACGCATTTTCTTGATTTTATTTAAACAATGATGAAACCTAGAGAGGAACAGCCTAGCCCAGCTGTCCTCCGTTTTCACGGTCCTCAAGGCTTTGCGGCCAGTCGTCACCGTTGGGGACGGCCATGCTTGGCACGAGAGAACAGCCATGTTGTGAGAGGGAGGGAGCGGCCTCAGGCCCTGAGGCTCAGTCCTTCCAGAGACGCGGGAGCTGGGACCACGTTCCCACCCAACCCCGGGTCCTGCTGGGAGGGGGGCCTACGTGCCTCGGAAGAGACGGCCGACAGTGCCCAGCATGCCCAGGGCAGCCCCACGGAGCCTCCGGGGAGGCCCAGCCTGCGTTTCAAGGCCATGCACAGAGCTTGCTGCTTCTGTGATTCTGGGAGCAAAGGAAGGCCAGAGTCGCCAAATGTGCTGAAGCGGGGGTGGTGGGGGGTTGTTATTTTAGAAAAGGGCTGGTCAGGGAGAACGCTATCACGAGACACAGGCCACGTTTCATGGGACACCTCAGGTTGGTCTCTACATGAAGGCACCACAAAGCTGCCCCTTCCCTGAGGCCCCCGCCCCGAGTGTGAGGGCTCAGCGCAGTCCAGCCGACAAGGACGAGCAACTGGGAAGGAACAGAGTCCGTCCACCCCGGGAAGCCACATGCCCTGGTAGGCAGGTGCAGCCTGGAGGGAGGGCTGAACAGAACTCCAGCAGGTCTGTGCACAGGCACGCGGGGCTCCGCTCTTCAGGAGACAGCAAGATCAGAGCAAGCTCACAGGGGTCCCCAAATGAAGGGGTCAACATGACACAGGGACAATGCCAGCGGAAGGGTCAGCGCCGAGGGTCTGCATGCTGGAGGCTCCCTGAGGGTCCTGGTCTCCAAAGTGCGCTCCCTACGTGCAGCGTCCAGAAAGCCCCCCCACCCCCCGCAAAGGGACGTCACGCTCACCTGGCACAACCCCTTCTGCTGCTTCGCCCCTCTCAAGAGCGGCACCTGTGTAAACCAAGCAGGAGGAACAGACGCAGGTCATCTCAGAGGGTGCCCTGTCCTGGTTCTGAGACCAGTGGCTGCAGCTCAGGGTCTGACACCAGTGAGTGCGGGGCAGGGGCAGGGCGTGAACTAAGTGAATGCCTGTCTGAACTGCTGCAGTGAAGGTCTAGGTTCTAGAGCCTGAGAGAGGCCGGGCAGGCACACCGCACCGCAGGGACCGGGGTCGGGTGATGCTTGCAGGGCCTCCGAGCTGCTGGGAGGCCTGCAGTGGCGTTCCCTAGTGACCCGTATCATTGGCCCCATTCCACTGATTTGGAAACTGAGATCAGGGTGAAATGCCTTTGTCCAAAATCCAAGCAAGTCGGTAGACAAGTGGGTCCCAAGCCCGACTCCCTGGAGCCCTTATTCCACACACAGTGCCCCACCTGCCCATGCTGTGTTGAGGGCACCAAGGCCCTCTGGCTCACTTCCTGCAGAGGGGATGGTGGAGCCCGCACACCTCACCCATGACCCCTTCCATCGGCTGGAGGCAACAGACTCTGTTGCGCTGTGAACCTCCCTGGAGCAGGATTTTGTTTTCCCTAGAAAATGGCCAATTTCTCCAGTTCAGTCACCTACATGCCCTGCAGCCCGTCCTCTAAGGCGGTTTGTTCTGGTTCTGTTGTTTGTTTCAGACATGCTCAGCTTTCCCATTGCTACTGGCAGATATGTGGGCGTCCACGGAAAGCGTCTGGGGAGGCCGCGCAGAGGCTCCTACGAGGAGGTGGGTGTTCCGGTCAGAGGCCGCGTCTCCTGAGCGCACATTGCTGCCCTCCCAGCCCAGGCCGCCCGCCGCAGGGCGGTGGGCCATCAGGAGGCGAGGGATTGGATGTTCTTGAGCATTTCCTCGAAGGCCTGTGGGGACGGCGCGTCCGCATTCCGGAAGGCGGCCTGGACCCTGCTGTACAGGCTGAAGGACTTCAACTCCAGCCAGATGAACCCAAAGCGATCCTCGTCGAACAGGACGAAGACCCCGGGGGTGCGCTCGGGGCTGGTGAAGCCGTGGCCGGCGATGAGGCCCGTGCCGTAGAAACTGAACAAGGACAAGAGGGAAAGCGCGGGGAGAGGGGATGAGCGGGGCCTCGAAGGCGCGTGCTGGCCCAAGCCCATCACCCGTGGTCCTGGACGTTCTGGAACATTCTCCATTCCACCTCCAGGCCACTTCCACCATCTGCCAGCAACTCTGCACAGAGGTGGGGCCCTGCGCCTTCGGGGAGGCCGGCGTTCACCCCACACAGTCGGGCTCACCCCGCCGACCACTGCTCTCTCTCTACCAGCTCACCCAACGAAAGGACGAGGGTCCCAGGCAGCCCCACCTCGTATTCTCTATCCCAAAGTACATGTCTTTATGATGCAGACCCAGGTAACAGAAATCTCAATCCCCGGAACAGTTAGGTCCACGTATGAACAACTCAAATGTAATCGATAATGATTTATTGGCATGCAACTGACATTAACCAGAAGCAGAACTTTCAAATACCCATTACAGCCAAGTTTTGAGACTCAGGCTGTAATATGTTTATTTCTTTCTTGCAAAGAACAGGTGACGAGGAGTTAGGGGCTGGCCTGAACCTCCCAATGCGTGGAATGGTGCCTGGGACGCCCACCTCTGCCCACCATGCTGAGGCTCTGCCTGGAGGGAGGGGGACAGCAGCCCTGCGCCTGAGGGCCCATGGCTCAGAGAGTTTCGGGGGGGGTGCACCAAGCTTAGATACACAGAGACGTGTGTTGCGCAGGCACTGTGGCAGTGCCAGAGAACGCATGCGCCCCTCCTGGCCGAGCCCCTGATGTTTCGCACCGGGTGGAGGACATCCCATGACACAGCCGGGGGCTGGGCCAGAGCTTCCAGGCCGGCGCTGCCAGAGGGCTCTGAGCTGGCCCTGAGATGCTGCAAGTCGTCAAGTTTCCCCGGGATAACAAAGCCTTTTCCTTTATGACCTTTCAAAAATTCACACATTCACTATGTGTACATCTCCCTCCAGAAAACCCAAATTCAGCCTCTTTTATCACAACTGTATTAGCATGAAGAAAATGTAATGAATTTTTTCCATCAAGACCACGCAGACACCTAAATTCCCTTTGGGGAGCTCGGCGTGCGCCCGCCTGCGTGCGGAAAGCCTAGGAGACCACTGCGGGCACACGAGAGGCAGCAGATGCCCAGAGGTAAGAAAGAAACCTTCACACGCGACGTGACAAAGGCAGAGAAAAGTCGGCTGTAATAATCTGCCAGGAGACCGACAGGTTCCTCCCTCAATGAACCCCGAGGTGACTGTCCGTGAGAACTCTCTATGGCGATGCAATGTTCTAGACCTGCGCTGTCCGACACACGAGCGGCTGCTGAGCACCTGGAATGTGGCCAGTGGGCCCGAGGGCCTGAATTTTCATTGTATTCTCTGTAGTTAAACTAAACAGCCCTGGAGTGCAGGGGACCGGGGCAGGGCGTGCATCTCTAAGACAGGACCGTGCAAACAGCACGCCAAGTGAGCAGCTAGCAGCAGCGGGCAGGCCCTGTCCCAGACCGGGGCCCACGGCCTCTGTGGGGAGGCTGTTAGAGCCGGGGAGAAACCACACGAAGAAATGAGGAGGCGGTGAGACCCCAGGACAGGCCTTCCCTGCAAGGCCGTCCAGGACGCCGCGAGCAGGCTTTCCGGGGAGGCGCGGGGAGGGACGCCACGGCCTGCTTTCAGTGCTACCCGACGTCTCACCTGTCTGCCTGTCTACCTTTGACCTCAGCAGCTGTGCAGTGAGAGACGTTGGGGAGGAGGCCCCCTGCCTGGCAGCTGAGCCCCCCAGAGGGGTGAGGGGACAGGAGCCTCACAGTCTGCTCGGCCCGAGCTGGGACCCGGCCCAAGTAGGCAGAGCTTCCCCACCAGTGCAGGGCCCCCAGCGCGGGGTCGGCCCCACCCCAGGCCACCTCCCTGCCGGCCGGGCAGAGCCCCCTCCGGGAAGCCCCGTCTTGCCCGCCCCGCGGCATCCTTACCACATCCTGCAGGTCCGGGGATAGTCCTCGTTCCTCGAGCTCACGCCCACCGGCAGCACAAACGGCTGCCCCTGCCCCGACTGGGCGGGCGGCTCAGCCGCGGCCTCGGCCCCTCCATCCCCGGGCCCCTTGGCCTGCTCGGCGGGTGGCTCCGCGCAGGGCTGGGGGCTCTGCCGGCCGAGGCCCGCGGCGTCCTCGGGCCCACCTTCCTGCTGCTGCTCCTGGCGCACCTGCTCGCGCACCTCCAGGACGATGCGCGAGAGCTCGTTAAAGTCGCGGAGGCTCTCAATGTCGGGCAGGTGGATGCGGTGCCTGAGGTTGATCTCTACTGTCTGCTGACCGGCAGGGATGTTGGGGTCACCCTGCGGAGCCAGCGGGCGGCGGTCAGCAGGCTCAGAGACCGCGGCCTCCAGCCCCGGTCACACCTCCGGCCGAGGGCGCTCGCTCAGCCTTCCTACTGATTTGGCGGCAACCCCTTACAAGTCAGAAGATCCTAGAAGCCCTTACAAAGCAGCACCCAGCGCAGGCAGCCTTCCGTGAAGGACCTCTGAGGACAGGGAACAACAGCACCCACGAGTGACCCTGGGAGGGCCCGCAGGCACATCTGCACCCAAAGACCTCAGGTGGGAGCCAGCCTGCATGACAGCTGAAGAAATGCGCGGCCTAGAGAGGTCCACGGACCCTCCCCGGTCAGACGGGGGTCAGGCCGGAAACACCAGCCCAGACTGTCTGCCTGGAACACGAAAGCTCCCCAGCATGAACCTGGGAGAACGCCCAGGCCCTCGTCCACAGGGAGCCCGGCCAACGGAGCTGCGAGCAGTGCCCTGTGAGGACCAGGAAGAGGCCTGCTCTGCGCCTCCACAGAGACTCCCCCCCCACACCTGCACAGCAACAGGCGAGCACGTGGATAGCAGCCCCTAGAGCGGGTGACAGAGGGCCCGTCATCTGGGACGCCCACTCAGCTCAGAAATCCTCCCACTGCGTTCCCGAGCTGCTGAGGCCAGGACGGGCCACGGGGGCCGGAGTGCTAATGCAGAGGGTGTCCACCATGGCCACACCTCAGGGTCACCCAGGGAGCTCCTGGAGCCCCTCACCCGGCCCACCCCCATTAAATCAGAATCTCTGGGATAGGGCCCCAGCATCAGTGTCTCCTCCACCTCCCCAGGGATCCAGGGTGTGGCCAGGGCTGAGAGCCGTGTGGTAAGGCTGCCTTGGAAACATTCAGAATCGCCGGGGGATCCTGTGGAAGGCAGGCCCTGGATCAGCAGGTCTGGGTGGGGCCTGCGTTCCCAGCAAGCTCCCCGGGAAGCAGTGCCACGGTCCGGGGCCCACACTGAGCAGCCAGGGTGCGGCCCGAGTCACACTACACCACGCCGATGTGATGGAGTCCGCACGGTGCTGGGCCTGCCAGGGCAGCCCCTGGACTCACCGTGATCTTCGTGCCCCTGGCGTGCTTCCCGTGGAAGCTGAGCATGACGATCTCCAGGCCGTGGCTGCCGTAGGTGCCCTTGAAGAGGCCAGGCCTGATCAGGTCGTCCGGGTGGCTGGGCGGGAGGTAGATGCGGCGGTAGGTCAGGCAGTTGCTACAGGGGGAGCGGGCAGCATGAGAGCTCGGCCACAGAGCCGCACGGGAGCAGGGGCAGGAGTACGGAGCTCATGCGCCTCCGGCCATGCTGCATAGGGCGGGCTGGGCAGGGTGGCCCAGGGCAGCCAGGGTGAGCTCCCCACTAGGGGCACCCCTCGTTCCTGAGCTATGCCCCCCCACATGTGCACAGCACACCTCACACCTTCTCTATCACCCTGGGGCAGGGACCCCTGAGACTGCAAAGGGGCTAAACAGGGGCCATGCGACAGGGTCCGGGGGCAGAGGGCACGGCAGCAGGGAGGCTAAGAGGCCCCCCAGGTGGACATGGGAAAGCAACTATGAGGCTCTAACACACAGGCCAGGCCCGTGACAGCACACAGCTGGTGGGTGATGATAGTCCAACAGACAGAAAACAGACACCGAGGTGGGCCAGGAGACAGGGAGTGTGCTCACAGTACCCTGAGAAAAAGACCATGTTCACAGTACGCAGAGAGAGGGACTGTGCACACAGCACCCACCAGGAGACCGTGTTCACAGTACCCAGAGAGGGACTGTGCCCACAGCACCCACCGGGAGACCG